ATGTGTCCTTTTATTAAACAAAATGCAAAATGCTGCACGTTTCTTTGTGAAATTGAAATATAACACTATAATAATATACTAATATAGCACTTGCATATTATTGCTCTTTTGTTGGTTTTGATTGCTTCTATTGTCCTCATTTTGTAAGTTGCTTTGGATAAAAGCGGCTGCTAAATAACAAAATGTAAATATAATGTAAATGTAAATAACAAAACTAAATTGAAATTTTAAAACAAGCCCCAAATCAAATAAATAAGTAACACAAATAAAAGAAATCTCTTCATATAAACAAAATAAGGCTTTGTCTGTGCTCTTTCTGGTCTGACTTTTTGACAGTAAGTTCGCCTCAGACATGCATTCATATAAACTCCTGCCCCTAATTGAATCACGATTTGTTTAGCATCTCAACCGATTTGAATAGTCACTTATTTGAATCGATATTCAACCGGCTTGCGCTTAATCGTTACATCCCTAACAATAAATACTTTTTTAAAAATTTGTTAATCCTATAAAAATAAAAGATAAATTGATAAATATTTATTATAAAAGTATAAATAAATAATTAATATGAAATAAATATATTTAATATAAATAAATAAATAATATATACACACTAAGGTTCAAGTTTATCATATGCACAAAACAACTTTTTGAATAACCTAAAATAACTAAAAAACAACACATTTTATATTTTTTTCTTTTGTTTGGTTTATGCTTATGTCTTATTTTGAGAAAATTTTAAAAGTGTGATTTCCAGACCTTAAAAAGTCATTGTAATGTTTACAATGAATATTATTTTTTTGTAATTATGTCAAGCTCTGAAATGTTTTATTGTGCAGAAACTGCTACTTGTGAATAAATAACACTGGAAACATCATATAAATGATTGGTCATAAAAAGTGTGAACCCGGAAATGCATTTAGTCAGGAATTATGGAATTTAACTATTTTAATTATAATTATTTAATGCAATTATTGAATGGGGTCAAAAAGGCTGAGAATCCCTGTTCTAGAAAATGTTTGAAACTAGGGGTCGACCGATTATCGGCCTGGCCGATTATCGACGCCGATATTAAGCATTTTTATGATTATCGGTATCGTCATTTTCAAAACCGATTTGCCGATAAAATAATTTCATTTTGAAACACGCTATCTGGCTCTGATGCAGCCTGTCAGAACCCACCACTCTGTGGCCTAAAGCAATCTCCGCCCACCGCCCATCTAATATGTTGGGAGTCACGAGTCCGACCAATCAGCGTGGATGTTCTGCGTGTCTCTGTATATGTGAATGGCACAGACGCGTGGTTTTGTTTACTACACACATACTGAAGTGCGTGACGCTCACTGTGTTTTCAGCATCTGCCGTCTCACTAAATGAGGACTTTAGGATGACAAAAATTGAGACATTTCAATAGGCTTTTGAACCAAGTTTGCCTAAAATAGGCTATTAGTGTTATAGTTTTATTAAAATAGTTGCGGACTTCTTAACAACTTCTACAATGGAGCTATGAAGACAATTCAATTATTTACACTTATTATATACATTGTGCTTTTTTAAGTTAATCAATTGATGTGCATTAGATGATGAATTGAACAGTCACCTCTTGTAGGTTATGATTTAGTCATCAGAAAAGAATCAATGAGGAATTATGAGAGGTTATGCTATTACACATACATTTCTAACATGTAAATTATTGAAGCCAAATAACTACATTTCCCCAAGCTGTTTAGCTGTAGTACAGTATTCGTAGGCTTAATTATGAAGCATGGAATGCACGGAAGACAAGAGTAAGAAGTACAACCAACACCAGTGAAGGCAGTTTTTGTCAGAGCCCTTGTTATTCTTAATTTTGACATTAATTAAAATTTTTACACCAGACATATATATCGGTTCAAAATATCGGTTATCGGTCTACTTGATCTGTAATAATC